AAATGGTTGTAGTTTGTACACAAATGCTTTTGACCTTCCAAAAGAATTGGCACAGAACTTTTCTGGATCATCAAGTGTATGCAGTGCAAGAAAAGACGATTTTGGGCCCAGTTAATCTCCGTCATGGACAGGTGGCAAGTTATATGGGACCCGAAAGCTTTTGACTTCTGTATATTTAATGACTTGGTTTCAGTCTGTCAGTCATTTGAAAGAAATCTCAAGATGCAGAGAGTTTGAAATTTATGGCTGGTCGATCTACTTCTTCAAGTGTTTGAATCACCCAAATCACAACTCCCTAAACTCTCTAGAAATTTGTAAGGGTTTTAGTACCAAACAGTAAAAATGGGTTCAAAATGGGCACTTAGAACAATGTGGAATGATTGGCGCACCCCCCCACCCATAAAGGCTGCAGTTTTGATAAGAGTGCAAATGAAAGTAATTTTTTTTTCTGAAGTTTTTACGTAAAAATTGGTCAATACATAGATTATAACCACCTTGGTCACCAGTTTTTGGCTCAACAGTTTCGACCATCTGATCTCCATGGATCAGCCTGTGATGTTTTAAAAATAATAAAAATTAAAATAAAATTTTGTTCTGAAAACCATATAGTCCAGATTGAACGGATCATCAATAAAATGGTTTTTGGGAAAATAGAAGTTTGATAAAACAGAACTAATACCTTGACTTTTTTTCTGGGCCAAACAGTCCACGGTCAACAACGATTTGAAACCTTAGTTTATACCCCTCACAACCAAATATAATACAAAATTTATCAATGCAAAATTAAACCAAATTTACATTTTGATTGCATCAAACATATTTGCATTTGCACTTTTGCCAAACACGACCCAAGCTGAAATGTGTTTGTTTTTTATCCAATGTACAATTTCCATCTGACGAAGATAATGAACCACCTGCAGTAACTTCTTTCCTGAAGAAAATCTCAAGGCTGGAAATAGGCATACTTGCCTAGGTTATTTCATGTCAAATGCTCAAAGCCCATCTTTAGACCTGGTCCAAGTATAGGCCAGAGTTCTGAGATAACAAGGTCCAACATCTCGGCCCGGCCCATCAATTTTCACCTCGTTTGGATTTTAAAAGTTAGAGAGAGAGAGAGGGTTTGGACTTTGGACTTTGAACTTTGGTGTCTTCTGTCGGTTGTCTTAAAAAATAATCTTTTAAACTTGGACCACACATCTGCAAATTCTTATCTGAAAGGACCCACTGGAAATGATACGATGTTGCAGGTGCAAGATGAATTTGTAAAACATACAATAAAAAGGGCCCATGCTTTAAAGCAGAAAAAAAATAATAAAAAATAGAGAAAATATACAGCAAATGCAATCAACAAAAGTGGACAAACATCCCATGATGGTGGCAAATTCACCAAATTAATGAGCGAAAGGACGGGAGGGGCATTTTGGTTTTTCAAATTAATGGAACCCATGACAAGAAGGTCATTTTCGTATTTTCAGGTTTCCCAATATGAAAAGTGAAATCGTTACTCAGTTACTGTGGTGAGCCCATGTATATATATGACCAGCTAGCTCAACAAGGTAAAGAGAACGAGTTGATTGGTCAAAAGGGACAGAGAGAAACAGGAGAAAGAAAATTATCGTTATTCCCAAAATAGCCTTACAGCCCAGATGGGGAGTAAACAACAAACACATGGGCCCCTGTAAAGAGAAGAGACCAAAAAGAGTACTGCATGCATGACATGCACTCGAGTGCCCATGAGTGGCTCCCCATGTGAATATCCAACATATCTCCTAAACCCTAGTTCTTTACTCCCAGCTTTTGTTTGTTTCCTCTCACCCATGGCATGACTAAACTACCCATGTGCTTACTGTGTAATTACAATATTACCCTACAGCCTTCACTGACAAGGATTTTGATTTTAGGGCTGCCAATGGGCTCAGAAATCATATAGGGGCTGGATCTGCATTACATGTTTTGTTTATAATTGGTTTGAGATCAAGGTTTTAAAGATTACCAAGATCATATTGATGGCGTTTTTCGGAGAACCGATGCCAGTTTAGTGCCATATAGGCGTTTAACAGAAAACGCCAAAAATGATGTTTAGTTGAGCCATTTACCAGATAAACGTGATTCTCAATTTTCGTGAGAGCCATTTTATCATAAAAATACCAAAATTAACATTTTTAAGGGCATTTTCACTGTTTTGATTATATGGCACCTAGATGGCGTGTGTCAAAAATATGTTTAAAGTAAATTTTGTTCTAATTTTTTAGACAAAATCGTACAAAATGTTTATAAAATAAATATTGTATTTGTTTGGCATTGATACCATTGCTCTAGAAAATGGCAATACATCAGCGTCACGTCGAAAAAAACGGTGCTTCAGGAAATGTCTATTTGTTTGGAATTGTTTTTCCATAAAAAATGGTGCTCCAAGTCATGTCTGGGAAATCGGAAAGGCGTGGTTTAAAGCAATGCCGAATTTAGCATTTCCTAGAGTTGTAGCTCGCTGCTACTAACAAGGACATGAGGTGGCAGTGACAAGGACATGATGTGGCACTGGATAATAGGTACCAGTGTTGAAAACGTTTCTTGGAGCATTGGTACCAAACAGAAAATGTTATTGTTGCTCCAATAAACATCCTATCTAGCAGCAATGTTTCGAAACATAAAAAAAAAAGACACTATTTTCTCAGAAAATGATATTTCCAACTCATATATCAGCAATATCATGCTGTATCTACAGCTTCCATGCCAAACATATACATCATTGATACCAAACATCCCCAAACAGAAGGTTAGGTGAATTTTCATGTGTGAAAATATGTTATATGCATAATTATCATATTCCTTGGTTGGTTGTTAGTTATTCTTGTCTTTTCGTGGCATATTTTTAATATTATCAATTTATCATATTATTATGTCCTAATGTATCACAAATTTCTAGCTAGTAGCTAATATTGTCAAATCATAGGATAAAATTAGAGCATCATAATTGTGTCTTCTGGGATCAGATCTATTAGTCTTTCATTACTGAGTTTGTTATATCATAATTATCATATTCCGGCATCATAGACTCGAACTAATTGGGCCAGTTTTGGTTCCAGGATCTAGAATGAATGGATCAGTTTCGGGTTTTGATATAGTGTCCAGATTATTATCGGTTCAGAACTGATTTCTTCCAATTCTGAACCAAGTTAGACCCAAATAAATTAATATATCTATATATATATAACATGCTAAATAAATTTTATATATAATATTTAATATATATTAAACATATATATATATATATATACATATTTAGTTTATTTGTTTATTTATTATAATTGTGTCTATTGAGTCAAACCTGATTGTCCTGAGAACCCATTGGGTCAGTTTTGGGTCTAAAAATTACAGATCCTGTCGGGTCCAAGTCAGTTTCAGGTCTTCAATATTTTATGTCAAATCAGTTTTGGTTGTAACTGGTCCCGGCCAAGACCCGACCCATTGACAGCCCTAAACCCAACTCATGACAGCCATAAAAACAACTAGACCAAAGTAATAGTGGTATGGAGATGAGAGAGAAGTTTGGCATTTTATAGTAAGGATATGGGTTATTATATATTATATATGAAAATATTTCAAATATTTTAATATGACACATGATATATATTATATAAAGTACAGCATATTTTTATACATAAATTACGTCATATGATATAAAATATTATACAAATACGTTTAATATAATATATTTAAAATTATAGGCCGAAAAACCCGGATCTAGTTTGGGGTTGGTTATTCTGTTTACCAAAAAAATTTATTGATTCGTGACTTGGTCTACCCTGACTGGAACCAAATCCGAATCCTTGACAGCACTAGTTAATTTTCATATATGAAGTATCAATTCTTTAATTTACTCATTTCTGACTTGTTGCAGAGTCAGAAACTAGACCCTAATATACTTTTTTTGTGCCAAGTAACGTGGTAATTTTATAAGCACAGAAGGAATGTTCAGAGGAGATTATTCAATTTTATATAGAGTAGACATATTAACAGAGAAGATGCCTGAAAATATTATAATGACATGTATGTATATGTAAACGGATATTGAGGTCCAATTCTAGTAGGGGTTGTAGAGGGGCATTTTGGCCATTTAATTTCAAAGAAGGAAACATGATTGATGATGGTTTTAGAAGGACGCTTCTAAAGGTGTTTGTTTCGACTTTCAACCATATTTATGTCACTTTGTTTCCTATTCACCCTCCTTTATTCACGCCACTTTCACTCCTCCAATCAGACCCTTTTCTTCTCGTTCCTTTTACTATAACAAAACATAAATCAGACTTTCTTCTTTCTTCATCTCCATCTCTGTTTTCATTGCCACCACAATTCTTCAATTCTCTCCGTATCTGTCTCCCTTCTTCACCTGTAGAGCAGAGATGTCTGAATTGTGTTTCTCAAGCTCCACCAACACCAATTTCTATAGCCTTCTCCTCTCTGACTTCATCTTCTTTTGTTCTTTCATACTCTCTCACCCACTCTACTTCTCTTACTTCATCTTCTTTTTCCCATATTTGCTCAAACTTTTCTCATTCCTTTCTCCTCTCTTCATAACCACATTTCTCCTCCTCCTGGCTTTCCTGACCATCTCTCCAGGGTTCACTGACCAGGGTTCTACTCTAGAGGCCTCTGGTTCTAAAGTGGGGCTCCTCATCAGTTCATATCACAAAGTTCTAGATACATTGCGGTCAAGGCTTGACAACAACGGCGATGAATTCCACCTCTTCGAGGAGCTTGAAGCATTCATAGTAGTGTTTGATACAACATTTTTCAAGGTAGGAGAGTATCCAATTGAAAATTCAGAAACCAAGATTGAAGAGACCTGCTCACAAGCCCATGAGACTCAGGTAATCAACCCTTCAGGCCATCAAGCTTTTGGTTCCAGTCTCTCTGAAGTGCTAAATTACAATGTAGAAGAAAATCCACTGAAAGTTATTTGGGAGAAGTCCAAAGGAAATTGCTTGAAAGTGGAAGGCCTCTTGCAAGAAACTGTCGTAGAAGATAAGCGAGCCGAACCGCCGGATACAGTGCTCAACAAGGTGAAAGAAAGCCAAAACAATTCGCCCATTGGTACTGGACCAGAGGCACTGAGTTGCAAGGCAAGTGAAAACCCAGTTAAAGTTATTAATTCAGACAATGGTGGAGAGTATCATTCCAAAGAGTTTAGTAGCCCCCTGGTTCCAAACCTTGGAAGCTTTGGGTCAATGAGGAAAGAGAAGGAATGGAGTAGGACATTAGCGTGTAAGCTTTATGAGGAAAGACAGAACGTTGATGAAGAAGAAGGGATGGATTTACTATGGGAGGCTTATGAAGCTGATTCAGGAAAGGCACAGGTGAAAAACAGGGACAAGAAGGAAAAGAAGGAAAAGAAGGAAAAGAAATGTGGAGTGGTGTATGATGAGGATGAAGAAGATGAAGAAGACATGGAAGAACAACTGTGTTGTCTGCAAGCTTTGAGGTTCTCAACAGGGAAGATGAATTTGGGAATGGGAAGGACCAATTTTGTGAGGATTTCCAAGGCCTTGAAAGGGATTGGATGGCTTCACCATGTGAGTAGACATGGTAAGAAGGGTTAATACACTATAACTAAACTAAATTTTCTTCTTCTTCTTTTTCTTTTCAGTTGCTTGAGTGATGTTAATTGAGCATGACAAATATGTGTATTTTTTAAAGGAATTACAAGTAAATACTTTGTTTCATATTCATCACAAGCCTTATATTTCTCTCCTAATCTTCTTTCGGATTTAGTTAATTACAATTTCTTATCTTTAACTCATTTTTTTTTTCTAATTTCATTCTACATTCTTAATTCCAATATGGAACATGTCATCAGAATTTTGTTGTGAAAAAACAACTGGGGTTTGATGGTGGTTGCTGGTTGGAACCTTTAGGCTATGTTTGGTTTAAAGGAAAAGATAGGGAAAGGAAGGGAAAGTTAAGAAAACCTATACAAGATTTGTAAAGGTTTCCCTACATTTTCTTTCCTTTCCCTACTTTTTCCTTCAAACCAAACATAGCCTTAAGGTGAAGCAAAGCATCCAATAGGGCTAATGGGAAGTGGGATTGGACTGACTTTTGTGTTTCATGTTTCAAAATTAGGCTTTGCCATCTGAACTGAATTATGACCATAGTTATCTTGGTACAAAATTATGAAACACAAGCGTGGGTTCTCCATGTGTTTCTTCTGAATGTTTTAATGGCCTGACCTCCAGTGATCGTTGCTTTTATGTCCCCTTTGCTTATCTTTTGGAAAGTTCTACCATGATTATTATTATAATTTTAGCCCTTTACATTATACACAGGAACAAAACCTGTAAAATAACAGCTTTTATTAAAAAGAAGAATAAATTGTTCAGTTGACAGTCTGATCCGTGTGAATCATTCCTATTTTCCCAAATGTGGATCCGAGGTCAAAATTGCCTAATAGACTGGCAGTTTGATTTAACACGGTCCTAGTTTTCAGTTTGTTGATAGTTCAGAAACGATTCAATATGGTATGTAGTTTATCCAATTGGATTGATTTTTGTTGTCAAACATTTTACACTAATATAATCTACAGTTAATATTTAAGTCCCAAATCCCAATAGTCCAAGGACTTAGAGCTGTTAATTGGTTGGGTTTGGTTTGGGTCAGGGTAGACCCACCGCCAAACTCATAAAAGAACACCCAGACCCAGATCCGGTAGGGTCTATACTGTAGGCAATATACCCAACTATCATTAATCGGGTTTATTGGGTCAGACATGACAAAACCCATTTATAGCTGGAACTCGGATTATTTGTCCCCACACCCCAATACGCGCCTGTGGTGTTGTATGGGTACGTGTGTGGGGAGCGGATCTGCCATTTTTCTTGCTCTCTCTTATCAAAAAGAATTTTATAATGTATGAAGTTTTTGATACAAAATGACAAAAAATGACAAATTAAGACATCTTATGTTAAACTATTACATGTAAACCACATTGAGAGAGACGCTTGTTATGTGCTAATTCATATAATGGTGATCGGTTTGGATCTATCTAGACTCTACATCAGGACGGAAAAAGTAAGTCAGTCCCAACCCTATAGGGGATTCATAATGCAGACTTAGAGACCTTTTGGTTCGGGTCTGTCAGACCCATTGACAGCCGTACAAGGACCATATAATGCATGTCTCCTCTAACGATAACAACAAACTCTGATGAACAAAGCTGGTACCATGATCCATGACCACTACAATTCTGCATGGCTGCATAGCACAAAAAGACAGAAAGCTAAGAAAGGTCTAACACCCCAAAACCCTATTTTTAGTGGAATAAATCTGTTCAGCATCCATTTCATTTGTTTTACCAGAATCTGTCCGTAGGATATCGAGTCTTTGCTTCAACGGGAAAAAACAAATTGGAACTGTAATGGTGAAGAATGCATCTTCAAACATTTTTATTCCTGAGAAATGTTTTTGATAAAAGGCTTGTCTCTGCAATGTATACTAACCTGCATAGGAGTGAAGTGTTTTGATAAACAAACTAGTATTAAGTGAAGAGAACCAAGCACATCTTATAAAGAAAAATATTTATCTCTCGGGCTGCTTCTTTTTCTTTTTTTTTTATTTTGAGAGGGGAAAATTGATCAATAGGATTTTGATTCTCATTGATCAAGATATTCATGTTTTTTTTAGATTTTATTATATAGGGTCCATAGAAAATTTATACCCATCTGGACATCTCCCATATGGGTAAATAACTTTTTGATCGAGGGAAAAATTGCCAACATTCATGCATATATGCATTTATCCAGGTAAATATTTCCCTGGGTAAATAACTTTCTGAAAAGTGAACGGGCCCTCAAGTTGCCGTCAAAAAATGATTAGCTCTGGTTTGATGATAATCACATGGCACAGGGACTAGAATTTGGCTTGAACTTTTTAACAAACAGTCCCAGCAACTGAATGGGCAGATGGTTCTAAATATGAGCTTAAAACAGAAAGGACTCTAACATCCACCAACAGCTTATGCAAGGGCAGGTTTCAAGCTTATGCATTCACAACCATGCATGCTGAGGGCTGTTGTTTTCCACAGCAGAAACTGATATATGGACAAAACTAAGTGCAAAAGCAAAAAAACTAGCAGTAATAATATAGTCCAATCTGGTTGCTCCTTTACCTTGAAAGCTTGTAAAGGAACCAATTAAAGATGGAAAATCTCCTATGAATCAAAGATGCAAACCTCTATTCAGGCAACCATAAACCAGAATACTAACAGCTGTTGAAAGAAAATTTCATGAATCTCAAGTTTTAGTACCAGAAAAAATTATTTCCCTCATGTTCCAAACTAAGAAAGTATGGTGCCCATTAAGGTATTAACTTTCAAATTTTGATTAGAAGGATGAAGCCCCTTCCAACTATATCAATGGAAGTGAAATAGAGATGATAGAATTACTCTTCTGCCACAATGCTGATCTCCCCTTTCTCTAGCATGTCATAAAATGTCCTCACTTTCCTTTGTTCATTCCAGTGATGCATCTTCCACATGTCCCCAGCAATTATGCCCAATGTGATCCCAATGCAAATCTCTTTCACCACACTAGTGTTTTTAGAGTTTCCTGAACAGCTTGTGTACAGACATTTTCTCCTCAAAATTTCAGCAAGAAATCCCTGAAAATAACAGAAGGAACATTACATACACATGGGCAATAGCATTTCATTCTCTCAAATCAGACATTTTCAATCTTTAATTGTACTTGGTAAAAGACCACAAAAGATCTTATACTGTGACTATTTTGCTTCAACTAGCATGGCTCCATTAACTAATACTGCAATATCATTATACCATTGGAAGAGCAATATATGGTGATAAAAGTTTCCCATGATTAGAGAAATAAACTGATAACACAATACTTTTTTTCCTTTGAGATCAGAAGAAAATATTTCTATTGAGAGAATGCTAGAGAAGGTACAAGGAAGAGGGGAACGTTGCAACTTGAAGGTAGTCTTTAAATCAATGTTTTAAAAAGTAGGAGGCATCACACAAGGCATTCCACTATTCAAGCAAGGGTGTCAGTAATAAACTAGAATGCAAGAGGTGCAAATCTAAACATATTTACAATTTCTAATAACAAAACCATTAGGGATGCAATTTGGGTAGGCTTAGGCTTTTTTTTTTTTTCCTTTTTCTCTTCTTTTTTTGGAGGGTGGGAGGGGGGTGTTTTGCAGGTTCAGGCTGAGGATTTGTTAAAATTTGAATGGGTCAGGACTCAATGCTGTAAATTCTTCAAATTGGGTATCCAACTTGAACCCCTAAAAGCCCATCATACTCAAGGATTAAAGTATCGGTATCAGGTACCCGTATTGGACCACTCAGGTACGGATACACTTTGGAAACGAATGGATATGAACGAAAAAATATGGATACGCCAAAAAATGCATATAAATTCCATAAATATATTAATAACATTATTTTTAAAATCAAAATAGCTATAATTAATGTATATATAGAAAATGTATATTCTAAAGGTATATGTGAATAAATATACTATAATTAATACAACGGGATGCATAGAAATCATAAAATTTTATTGATATTGTATTAACCAAGAATCCTGGAATATATTGTATATATATTTTTTAAAAATTAATACATGTACAAAGCTATTATTATGTTATTTTCTATTGAATTTCAAGGCACAAAACATATGCAACTATTATATGTGAATTATTATGTTGATTATTTTTATTTCACTGTTTTTTATTTTTAATATTAACTAAAAATCAACTAAAAATTAATTATCAAATGTTTAGTTAACAATATTTTTATTTTTGTAAACAATAAACACATTATTATAAAATGTAATTAAAATATAAATTAAAAATTTATAATAACATATAGTATTAACCTAAAATATATCAAATATATTAAATTTTCTAAGATACACATCATATGAAAATTCACAATTTTTAACTACTAAAATAATTATTCCGTTATTAATATTTTTATTTCCATACATTTTTGAGATAAAAAATCATTTTTTGATATAAATGTAGATTAATGGATTTGACAAATTCAATTTATATTATATTCTTGAGATTTTTGTAAATAATATTTTTTTTTTTTATAAATAATATATACTTTTATTTAGTTCAAATTAAAATATTAATTAATAATTTATAAGATTTTAAGTTACATGTTATGTTCAAATTTATAAATATTAAGTACTAAAATAATTATTCTATTATTAATATCTTTTTCATATAAATTTCTTGAGATTAAACAAATTTTTGATATAAACGTGGATTTAAGAAATTATTTATTCTATTAGTTTATATAATATTAGTTTTGAATATTATTATTTTTATTTTGCTGGAATTGTTAAACAAAAATGTAACTTTTTTTGCATTACATGTGGACACTATAATAGAGACCAATTAGTTTATTTTAATAGACTTCATAAGATGAAAAGTGGGCTTAATGGTTCAAGTGCATGTTTAAGGCTTTGGTATGGGAAGGTTTGTGTTCAATTCACGTTAAGTGCAACTTTTTGGAAATAAACGATTGTGTACGAGAAAACGCTGAAAACTACAAAGCACTATTTTATACCAATGA